GTAGGGGGGGGGGGGTGGGATTGGTCATTGGGCAGTCAAAAGAGCCCACGTGACTAACGGGAACAGTCTTCCATGGATCTGCCGTCTCCGATCACGAGGCAACAGTCACATACCCAATACTTCAATTTAACTTGTGTCCGTATCTCTGCGCCACCACCCCACTTCCCAATGAACCACCACCTTCGCCGCCGTGCTCCGCCGTCTCTCCGACCACTACTCACGGGAATTAACACCTTGATTAGGCTTTAACTCAGTTAATTAATTGATCTGATTGTTTAATGGGATGCGATGAGAACATGTTGGGACTATGCGGTTTTTTGGATTATACTACCACATATATATATAATAGATATATATATATATATATATATATATATAATATTACATGGTACTAATATTACTGTATTGTCTGGATTAAATTAATTCTCTAGATTTGCAAGTTTAATTAATTGATCTAATGTGGGGAGAGATTTTTTTGGCAGTTCTATTCCAATTTGACCGCAATTAAATAGTTAAGCACTTGCAAATTGCCTAGAACGAAACTTACACCGTCAATTTTTGTTATATTCTATTATAGAGTATAGACTTATACATGTATATTTTTGTATTTATATTTTTCTAGAGAAGACTTTGATTTATTCATCATCAATTTCAAAGTTTACACTATTGATAATCACATTGGTCATAGCTGGTTGAAGGTAGGGACCCTTGAGTGAAAGTCGAGCTACTGCATGAGCTGCTTGATTGTTGTGTCTCTTGGTGAACGTAACTGAACTCCCTTCCTACATCACGATATCTGCAATAATAACCCTTGTGCATCGACATGTCATTATACACGCATATTTAATTCATATGTGCGCGTGATTACGTGCGGGGATTGCGAGTACATCTAAGGTGTCAAAAGTTCTTATGCATGTATAATTTACCATTAATGTAGTAGTTTCATAATTTTATTAATCAAAAAATAATTATATATCCTAATAGATTAGTATCAAAAATAATGACACTCTTTCGAAAATCTCGTAAGAGAGCATTAATAAAAGATCTACTATTGAAAGGTGTGATAAAATATTCAAAATAAACTTGTGATCTCATAAACAGTGAAAACTACGCGTGAAATTGAACTCCTAAAATGACTCGATCTTCTGTCAAGTCGGCTCATGATACATCAGACTTGACTCGATTCGACTCATCTACACCCTTTCTTTTGATGGTCTAAGACTCTAAGTACACCCAAGCCAAATGCTAAGTTCCAAAAGAAGTACGAAAATTTCTTTTCAAGTAAAATATATTTTGTTATTAAATTACGTATGTTTTATAATCATCATGTAAGATTTTGAAGAGAGAAATAATTATTCTAGAGAGAGAAAAGAAAGAAGGAATGAATAGTGTAGTTGTGAGAAAAATCAAAAGAGCAATGAGAAGAAGCAGTTTCAGGCTAATATTACAATCAGTAGCCGTACACTGTCCCTGGGAATCTCTCTCTCTCTCATCAATCAATAAAACCAATCCACTTGGTCATCACTTCAATCATACTCACTCTCTCAAAAATCCACTATCAAATCCCTCTACTTTCTATCCCTACACATATTTTTTGGATTTTGCCAAATTCTTTTATTTTTTTATTATTTTTTATTTCATATTTCAAATTATTTTCTCTAATAAAATTTCCCATTTAATTTAGTATTATAAACTTTACAAAATAAAGTTGTGATCCTTAATTTAAAACTAAGAAACATTCTAGCTACTATATGAATCTAATTAGTTGAGATATATGGGTGGATATTCTGGGGTGAGCTGGAATGGAATTTTTGATTTTCGTCTATTTCGATCTGAAAATATTTGATCTCTAAATATAACAACATTTTTCATTTAAAATTCTATTTTTTCAATTTTTTGGTTATTAATTTTTATTCAATTACAATTTACGAAAATAATTCAAAAACATTCCCCTTGTTCTTCCGAGAATTGAGTTTATAACATCAATATTATTTATTATATCACAACTTATAATTGATAAAAAAATTATATAAATTCTGAATTCTGCCGATTTCGATACGAATTCTGACATTCCTTCCAATTTCGGAAACTTGTTTTTCCTTTGTTTTTATTTTAACAAAAATGGAATTAGTTTTTTTTTTTTTTTTTCTTGTGAAAATTCCGATCACAATACGTTCGATATTTTTAGAATTTTTCGTCTTATTAAATAATTATTCGATTCGTATTATTTTAAATGATAATTTGATATTTTTATTTAATTTCCACCCTTAGGTGGATGGATATCAAACAACACAATCTAAGAATCATGATTCTTGATTCAAACAAAAAAGTTATTTTCTTCCCCAAGCCTATGATCACTCTAGTGAAATATAGTAGTGTGTAATTAGAGAGATTCTAGTGATAATAATAAAGAGAGAGAGAGAGAGAGAGAGAGAGAGAGAGAGAGAGAGAGAGAGAGAGAGAGAGAGAGAGAGAGAGAGAGAGAGGGAAAAAAGTGAAAGCAATCATCAAAGCAACAAAATGTTCTTCTGGGCTTAAGAGCAATCTTTGACCCAAAGATGGAAACTTGTGAAAAAGAAAAGCTAACACTATATACTACTATATACTAACACACTCATACACACGCCATCCTCCTTAATTTCTTTTCTTTATTATTATTTCCATATATCAAATCAAGAATATACTATCGTGTCGACTAAGTAAATATTGTGCTCAATATTATACATTTTTTAATTTATTTATTTTGTTACAAAATCCAAATTAATATGATGAGCCCAATTGGATAACAATTTTTTTTGTCAAAACAAAATCATTTAATTAAGCGAAATAAGCCACGAAAACTATATACCAGTTTTGTAGATGCTACAGTCGATGAAATACACTGAATGATTCTATATCATTGGTCTATTCATACTAACACACATACCCATGTATGTATTTTTAATGGGTAATTATTAGTATAGATCTATGACGTAAAATCACTCGGTGTTTTTCACCAGATGCAGCATCTTATAGACTCTCCCAGTTTTATATATAGTACATGGGGTGATTATGCACCATCCGCACAATATCACACGTACCTATGTATATATTTACTAAATGGGTAGTTATTTGTATAAATTTATGGTGCAAAATTATTCGAATTTTTTCATCAGGTGTAGTAGCATCTCATAAACTATCGTCTGCCCCCTATAGTAACTTATATAAATAAATTTAGTAAAAATAGACCCGTTAAACTTTTTTTCTTAGTAAAAAGAAAATAATTAAAATTGAGATAGTGTGAGGGACAAAAAAGGAAGGAGCAATAGTGACCCCACAATGATGGATGGGCCCCAAATTAAACCCCCGATACAAAACAAAGTCCTCTGGAATATCGATCGATTCGATCAAAAGATTCAAAAAACAGCTAAAAATTAAAAATAATTATTTAAAAAAAAAAAAAAAAGAGGAGAGAGAAAGAGTAGAGAGAGAGAGAGAGATAGAGAGAGAGAGAATAAGGGGGTTAAATAAAAGATGTGTCTTGAGATTGGAGAGAGGCAGTTCGACAAATGGGAAGACCACCACTTTCCAAAAGATGCCCCTCTCTCTCTCTCTCTCTCTCTCTCTCTAAAACAATTCTTGTAAACTGCGATTCACCCAACCCACAAATTTCATTCGCTCACCCCCCCCCCCCCCCCCCCACCACGTGCCAGCCAAGCACGTGCACGCTACGTGACTCTTCTAAGGATATTTATTTCCATCATTCACTTGATTATTATTTTAGCAACAAGATTTAGGATTTTCTTTTCATAATGATAACGATAAGATTGTAAATTATGATTAATGAACTTAGGGCTACAATTTACTTCATTTAGTTTCACAATAACCTGTCAATTTAAAAAAAAAACTCTCCATATTATTCGTCACTTCAAAATTTCGTTACTGCTTTAATTGCATAATTACCAATTTTACCCTTATTATCTATTTCCGACATTTTGTCTTATGAATTAGGGACAATGGAATTTTAGTTTTGAAACATACATTTTCCTAAACTCAAATCTCATCTAATAAATCCTTAATTATTGTGTAAAACTAAAAAACGATAATTATAAAAGAACATACATGGAGTATTATATTATGGGAGTGAGATAGTGCTCTTATTAAATATAATATTTTGAGAGGACTTTTGTAATTGTTAGGAAGATTAAGAGTAATTTGTTTTTAATATATTTTCTAATTGACTCCTTTAATTTAAATATAAAAAATACTATAAACTATTATATAGTAGAACCTCGATAAAATAATATTCTTGTTAAATAATAATTTTTTTCTGATTTCAGCTTCGTGACAACATGCTAAATTATTTATTTGATAATTTAATGTATTGTTAAATTAATAAATTTTTACTAGGGCCAACTCTATTTATTTATAGAAAGTTTAATTGTACGTGTATCTATGATAATGTAGATTTGTCCACCTCCATTGCATCCCTAAAATCATGCTTTTATCGAGAAAAAAAATGTTCTTTCTCAATATATTTTGAATACATCAACATCATTATATTATTCAAGTATGCAACCCTATATTCAGTTCTCCTTTTAAATATAAAAAAAAAACGCTTAACTTGCCAAAGATAAATCTTATATTAAACTATAAATGTTCTTATATTAAAAGGGTTGGTGTGATACTTATCATCAAGTATAACTAGAACAGACAATTGAGTCGG